TGCGTTTTTCGATATGTGTTTCTCCCAGTCATCCCATTCACATTGTGAGCATAGCCTCGTTTTTCACCTCGTTGAAAAAGGTCTTGAAAAGTACCTAAATCAGGCCATTTTTCAAGCCGTAAGCATTACAGCGTATAAGTACTTCTTTACAACCGACGTTCGCCAGCTCCTATGAGTAAACTTTGCTCTTTGTAAAACCTAATCTGCCACCTACCAACCTATTTTATGGGAGCTGTGATGTCTATTACTGCTATTACTACCAGAAAATAAATGCTTCGAGTTTTACGTCCGGTTCTGCCTTTAAGCGGAAAACAGTGTAACCATACTATCGTTCAGCGCTGGCCTCACCACCAGCAGACCGCCGTCAGCCAACAACCACAACAGCAATCAACTCGACTAACCGAAATAGAGGCCGGCAATATTCAGGAGACCTAGCAAAACGCGGGACGAATTACTTTACAAACTCCCTGGTTCATTTAAAGCGTCCAGTTTGAAGTAGCTCTGGAGCCTATTATCCTGCCACCTTACCGATTAAACAGTCAAACGAGCTCTCGTAGGCGATCAAAAAAGTCGTATCTCTCGTTTGTTAAGGGTGCGTTAACAATACTTCTTGAAATAATCTCTATGATGTTCATACGGGTAATGTTGCTGTAATTTTGACGGGGGCATCGTGTAGACAACATTTGTTAAGAGTTCTTCCTATTTCTCTAGTAGCAGTTATCTTACGGACTAGGAATTGATAGCTGCTGATTTTTTTTTTATATACAGATATGCAATACCTGTACACTGTTATCAAAAAAACGTCAACTGGTTTAAATGTTGACTTCCTACAACCGATTGTATTGATCGATAGACTATAGCTGCTGAGGTGTATGTAATCATGTGCAAGACATAGAAGCTCATTTTTATGGACCTAACTCAAAAACCACTACCATGGTCCATTTTCTTGGAATGCATATTTCCCACGTGTGGAGAGATACTGCGCTACGAACCAAGCGCGTAGGACAATCAGTGTTTCTACTGTTGTCTGTGAGCGTAATTACGGTATGCGCCGACAATTTCAACAGCTAACCGTGTCAAATAGTCTCTTTGTTTCAAGCCTTAAAATAACACTTGAGTCAATAGATAAAGGTCTCCCAGGCGTCTATAACATGGGCATTGTGTGATAGGATCGTTACCTTTCGTATTCTGCAAGGTTTCGTCGTAAGCTTTTTGGCGGCATAAGATTCTTTTTTTTTTTTTTTTTTTTGCTTGTTTTCAAAGACCCCTCTTTCCGTCGTAGCTCTAACGCTTTATGAACGCCTAACTCTAGAAATACATGAAATTATTTTGAAGACTAAACCGTGATAAGGTGTTGTCGGCCAGTTTTATTCAGATCCTCATCCGATATTTGTACATATTTCTCAGATACGTTGTACGGGTCGACAAGTGCAATAACAGTATCTATTATTCATTCTTTATACATTAAAATCAATGATATGGGAGTAGCTCTGTATGTGTGAGTTACATGATTAGTTCTGATCTCGTCACTGAGGGCTTTTTCGAAAAAATCGACGGTACGATCTACCTCCTTTCTTAAAGCAAAGCAAAATCACAGGAGAATGATGTATATGTTTTCGTGCACGAATCGTACATTTCGTAGCGACTCGACGGAAATTTCGAAGCAAAAGCTTTGTAGAATTGGTAAAATGGTAAATTCTCATCAAATGGTCTTCTGAGTGTTGAGGCACTTAACAATTACGCGGTGGAGCCCGCATAAATACATATATATAGATAGAATCATTTGTCTAGTTTTTTTCATCACACATGTGTCAGAAAATTTAAAAACAGAGCGAATCACAGAACTTATTCCGTCATAATAACTATCGGTAAAGTCAGATAGTCCTCATTCAGGCCATGTACCTAATTCGGTGAACGTAATAGGCCTGAGGAATGTGTGCAAAAATGTAGAAGTTCGACAGAAAATCATTTTTGTGCAGTTTTTTTTGTTATGTCTTTAATGTACCCATCAACAAATCCCACAGCTCGATAGTTTCTGAAGTATTTAATGAAAAAACGTGAAATTTGCCCATCAAAAGTTATTGGATCTACTACTGCGCGATATGATAATCCTTGCTACTCTTCTACTGTATACAGATGTTCTTTCCTCAACAACGTCCTTGAGAAAAAGTTTTCTTCCGAGAAAAGCCGCTCGAATCTATCCTGATTCAATTGATAGTTGATTAATGAGTAGAAAATTTTAATGTAAGCACGGATGAGTGAGTGGCACCGGTCAGTTCCTTGTACGATATAGCTTTGTTTAAGTAAATACTACAGATTGTTACAGAAACATCTTGATGCAAGCAAACAGGTAGTAAAATGCCCCTAAGATGCGATACGAAGCAGTCACTTATATTCGATTATAATAATTCTGTGATTCTACATGTTGAAGAGAACTCTTGTTGATTAGGATTACAAATAACAATGCTACAAATATATGTCTCCCGCGTTTTCGAATTAACGCGGTCCAGATTGTATCTTAAAGTGACCCACTGTCCTGTAATAGAAGTGGGTACAATTTGAGAATAAGCAGCTTCGCATGCGACCAGCTCTTTATGTGAATACACCCGGGTCCTAAATCTACTGGAAGTGAATTAGGCTAAATCAGGAATACGACGTTAATTGTTTGACCCAAAAAATGGAGGCAGGGAATGTAACGAATCATGGAACCCTTTCTACTTTTTTTAATAAATGATTATACGGTCGCACTAGGAATATTCAGCTGTGCGCTCCGATTTGACTCGAGCGCATCAGTCGCCAACGGCTATTTTCATACGCGTACGTTAGGAGGTATCTAGAGAAACTGCCGCCGGAAAACGGATATTCGCATTACGGATGAATCCCAAACGAAAACCTGCTATTGCTTTTCTAATAAGTTCCTAGTGCGAAACGACAATTAACTTCCTAAAAATTATTGTTGAAAAGAACGTTTTTAACCCGTGCTTTCGAGCTCATCTTTATTGAAGAAGAGCACATAGAAGTTTATGTGCGTGCGGATCGGAATAATTCCGAAAACCGCACGACAGATTCGGAATTGTATAGGCTTGGTTGGACGAGAAATTTTTATACACAATAGAAGCCTCAAACCTCTCTATGGTTCGAGTTTTACATTTCATATTGCTCTTAGCGGCACCACTAGATGGAGCGCTGGTTGGCTCCCAGCACGGAAGTCTGTCTGTCTATGCCCGGGTTCGAACTTATGCCGCAAGGTGTCCCTAATATTAGCAGGCAGATACATTATTCACTAAGCCACCACGGGGACACAACCTAGAAAGACTCATCCTCACACAACGACTTATGCAGAGAACCTGTACTATGACGTAGTACAAACCATAACACATGCACCTTTCTCATAGAAGTTATGGGCAACGCTGCTTCAGTTGATCAACTGAGATCTAAAAAGTTTTCCTCGCCAAATCGATTGGCGGTGGGTAGTCGATCTCGGTACTGCATATAGCATTAAAAAACTTCTCTCCGGAATAAACAGAAGTGCATTATGTCCGTTGATATAGCCGTCTACAGCCTGCCTGTGGCAGCGAATTTTCCGTTACAGGGGGTGTTATTTTAATAACTCTGAACGCTGTTGGAGAGTTTTATGACATTTGACATTCTATAGGCCATAATCAACGAAAAGTGAGCCTATGGTTCCGCTCAAATTTTGACGTACGCCTACGATTCGTTTGTCAATTAGAAGAGGACAACCATTACTTAGTTACCTGAAAATTACGACATTGAGCAGTGGCTCTCGCGATTAGCGACCTATTCGCACCAGCAAGATAGTACGGCGCCGTTTTCAATCGTTTCTACCGTTGAGATCGTTAAAATTGTTACCTATCAACGATACCATTATGTATACCGTGTGTGTATGTGTGTTCGAGATCTGCCCGTTTTTGTGGCTGGTATTCTTGATGTAACTAGGCGGGTCCCGATAGATCCTCATCGGTCTGCGGGCGTCATAAAACATTTGCACTAGTGACTTAATAGTTAGTGTGATGCCGACACGCTTCGCCAGATCACACACATAGTGAAAACAAAGCTGGCCTCAATAGCGACAGATATCTAACTGATACTCATTAAAATTGGACAACTTTCGCTGACTATTGTATATAACGTACTAAGTCGCATTCTATAATGCCAGGCTTTCTGCCATTGTATAAATTCAAATTATTCCAAATTTTAATTATAGAATAAAGTTGACCCCTGTACTAAAATGGCTGAGTGATGATGGCTTGTTAAGTAGAATAGCATATGCGCGATCAATGAAGTAAACTGACAAACAAGCAGGTTCGAAGGAAAGAAGCATTTTTAATAGCTCTTTTTAAGTTTTCGAAGGTTGATGGTCTCCGTTAACCTTGACGTTTTCCATCGTTTTTATGCGCACGTGCGCAAACGTAACTGAATCACCGATAATATTGAGCATCTTGTCCAAGTTTGTGCGTAAGGACTTAGCTCTGGAGAAAGCTTTATAATAACAAAAACGTAGAAGTAGAGACTGACACGGCGATATCGACGATCTGCACTCGGTCTGCCTTGCATTCCTTGTAAGGTGCCTGATACACAAGGTTGTCCTACTGTTAAAACTTGCAGTAATCTACGACAGAGAACGAACAGTGGATTCGCATACGGTCTCATCGCCTCCATTTTCATTCAAAACGTTATTGAGTGTGGGAAGGGTGGGCACGATCGGACGTAAATACGCACATCTGCTTCTCTGTCTATCCACTGTGCCAGTTGTTGTTCAGCTCTCACTGTCAGTCAGATCAATTTTCCAGCTGTCTTTTTTCTAAGTTAAATTGCAGTTTGCCTTAAAAGGCGAACCTGTGTACCCTACTTATGTTTAGCACATCCAGTCTCGACGACGTGTACATGACCTTATGCCAATGTCCACTATTTTGTGTATTTGGGTTTGTGATTTTGTGCGTGTGAGCATATATGATCGTGCGTAAGCCTATGGGCGTGTGTGTGTGTGTGCTACAAGCCGGGTGGCGTGGCGTGCGTGTGCTTCTTTGTCGGCTACTGTTGTTCCGTCCGCGCTCGCAAAAAAACATTTACAGCTTTGTAGCAGCAAGAACAGCGGCAGTAGCAGCATTGGACTACTATCGCTGCGAGACCACTCCGTCGCTTTTCCTTTCTCCGTGAATACGTGTCTCTTCGGTCGCTCGTCGGCGCACCGTCTATCGCGCGCCCGCAACCATCCACGAGCGGCGGCGTAATGCAACATCCATCCCTTGACATCGCTGGACTGAACGCTATCGTTGCCGACACCGACGCCACTAATACATCTACCAATACGTCATCGTTCTGCGCCGTCGGCAATACGCTAGCCGCAGCAATAGCCGCGTTCCCCGACCCGCGAAAACGGCGAGGTTGCTCCATTTCTGCGCGAGGCTGTTAGCAGAGCTGCTGACCCAAAGGCTCAAGTTGTCGCGCCTGTCATTCAGCTTACTCGTCCATAGAGGGCGCTCTACTCTGTGCTTTGCCGGCAGAGAGCTTGTTTGCCCGCCTGCCTGCTTGTTAATCTTTGTTGTCTCGCGGATCGCTACGAACGGCCGCCACTCCGATCGCTGCAAGGCCTGTCTCGGACGGAGAGTATTGGTGGTTAGTCCCGTCTGTCGCTTACTCTACTGATTGGTCTGACCAGCAAAGAGGTGGATCACAGATTTGCTCAATATAGAGGACAGCAGTAGCAGAAACCACCACGACAACGTTGACGGCCGCGCTATCCTGTTGAGCTCGATTGCGCTCTTGCCTGTCATCGCGCACGAGACGTTTGATGCAAACTCTCCATGTAGCGTGCTGTGTATCCGCAGCCCCGTAAAGCGGCGTGCTGTTGCTGCTGCCGTCGCCGCTATCGCCATTGTTGTTGAAAGCTCAGCTGAGGCTGCTCCCTGCTGCGCGTGTAACCTTGTTCCTCCGGCCGCAAGCACATGTCAGCGGCCACCGGACAGCAAAAGTAGGCACTGACTATTATTTGTCCACTGTAAATGCGGCAGCGCAATAGCAGAAGATGCAAAGGTAACAAACGAACGGCCAAACAACGTTGGTAGAACACAACAGCCTGGCCGGCCGACAGAGACAAAGAGGCGAGCAGTAGTTGAACGAGCACGACATACGCGTCTCTAGCGTTCACTGGTCCAAACAGGGATCTACCAGGAGGCAGCGGCTGCGATGGCCTACCTGCGATAGCTTTGCGACCACGCTACCAGAGCGCTCTCTGCTGTTTGCTTTTAGACTCGTCTCTATGATATTCTCCTAATAACAGTCATACTACAACTACTACCCCAAACACGTGTAGCAGAAGACACGTTGTACCAATCCACGTATGTCACTGCGAGCGCCACGCCATTGGTATGCGACACCGTCATCGGCAGAAGCTTGTTCTTCATCTGACCTGCTGATCGCTTTATATAGTTCTTGTGTCCTTACGGCACGGTGGCGGCCCCTTCACGTGTTTGGACATTTTCGTCTCCAGAATTCTATGAAGGCGTTTCGTTAATTTGATTTCTTGTTAAATACTCCCATTAGTGTGGTTTGTTATACTCTTTACACTCCGTGTTTTTATCGCCGCTGTTAATATCGAAGCCATCGTTATCGTTGTTGCTCTTGTAGCCGGCGTCATCATTAGCATCGTTGTATTCGTTAGCTTCTTTGCTTTACAACTTCCTCGTGGATGTGTTTGGTCGGAACAGAACCCCTGGCCTGTGGCCCATCTGTGCGTATGTGGTGTATTGCGTGTATGCGTGAAACTCAAGAAATTTCGACTCCTTTAGCACCGCATAAGTCGCGAAAGGCGTCACCGTGCGCGAAAGCTGGATCGTAGACGACATTGTCGCAGGCGGGACGTTCTTGATCCCGTTCAGTCGCTGCTAATCCTGGGGCGTCTCCGAGGAAATAGAGGAAAGTCGCCGAGCGGCTATGCAATCCGGTTTAGCCTGCCAGGTAGCAGTAGCATTAAGTGTCTGCTGTTGCTATTTCAACATCTACAAGAGCGACTTACATTGCTAACTTACACGCGCTCGTTTGACCGACTCTGCCGTTGGCTATACAGATTAGCCCGCTGGAATCCACTCTATCAGTAGGAGGTTGACACTTGTCAACGGACCGTAGAACAACGTGGACAATTTTGTGAATGAGTAGCTATTGCAGTTGTTGCATCGTGGCCTACCGTATTTGAGCCAGCTAAACGAAGTAAAGCAAAAAAAAACATAGTATTAACACCATCGACCAGTAGTTTGTGTTGCGTACGTGTACCAAACAAAAGTCATTATAACTAACGCTACACTTGGATCTTTGAGTACATTTCTAGTGTGTGATAAAGTAAAAAGAAAAGCAGGCGACAAACACCGGAGGGGGGGGGGGGTGATCTCTGGTGGGTCCATTACTACGACGAGGTGAAATCGAACAGGAGAACCGCGGGCTCGGAGGCTCTGGAGGGCCCCGAGATGATGCCCGCCCAAGACACAGTCTGTCGATTACCGATCGGGAAGGATCGACTTTTTCCGGTTAGTATGGATTGAGTACACACATGACCCAACCTAGTTGGCGCAGACGCATCAGGGCTACCGCATCATATCTGTGTTGGATAAATACAAGTTTTTTTTTGAAAGCCATTGACACAATTTGAAGTTCTGGAAAATAAGCTTTTTTTTTCCGAAGCTTGTAATTAAGCCTCTATTTTCATTTAATGGTCGGTATTAATTTGATAGACGCTTTTCTGGGTAATGCGTCTAGTCTCTACTCTCGAACTATTAGCAAGGCGTGCTCGGAAAAAAGGGTAACGTGACCACGTTAAAATCATCAAAAAAAAGTACAATAACGTTAATAAAAAGTAAATTGCTGGGTTGGATGCTAACTCGGGTGGGACGAAGACCTTTTTAAGGGTGTTTTTCTCGTCTCCGTAATCAAAGTAGTTACGCAGAAAAAAGACGTTGATTGTGTTACTACGAAAACATATGTGTTTGATGTTTAAAAAAACAGCAGAACTTTAAACCAATGGCTTGTTAATGATTGCTTTCGGTTTTTATATCGCATTATTGGCCTCAGAGCAACGATAACCTAAAGCAAAAAGACAATCTGAGATAATTCGTTTAGTGGGCGTTCAAAATTCTCAAAGAAATGTTTGATAACACTTTAGGCCTATTATTATTATTACGTTCTACCTATGTGGCTAACAGGACTCGTCCGGCCTTGCGAGCAGCCGGCAGATTAGCCAGCCAGATTAATCAATATACGAAATACGCTGTAGCTAACGAATGATAACAATAAGTATATAGACATTGTTTCCAATTTACACCAACAAATATATCGGTCATACATACATTTTGTCTAACTTAGAATATGACCAGGTAAACTGATTCTGCCTGAACGTGTGAGTCTGTCGAGCTTTGTCTCGGTGTCGTCATCGTTAAGTGTGGGTTCACAAAATGTTCACGCTATCAGACACCTTATCCACAACTTGATCTCAAGTCTATCTCAAGAGATAATGGCAAGCCACCTACTTAATTTAATAGCAGTAACGTAGACGCTAGATTTCTATTTTTGTATCATTAACGCCCAGACAAAGCTAAGTCCTTTCGGCTTTACTGTCCGAGAGGCGACGACTGAATATACATCTGCACAAATACGTAAATTATCCGGCCACATCGCTCTGTCAGCAGGTGGCTGTCCGGACCACGCAAATACGTTAACTTCTCGAACGGCAATCAAAGTTTCACATTTTTACCACTGATAACCTGCCCGTATAAAAGCCATTGTTGCATTAAGATTTTTTCAAAAATCAGGTAGCCTTACTAGGTTCGTAAGGGTACGGGTTTTAAGAAGAGCTTAATGTCCAATGCGGTGATTATAGACAACGTTTAATAGAATTGCTTCGATTGATTTAATTGCAGGCCGATTTTAGTTTATCGGTGACCAGATTTTGTAATGAAGAAGAATAGAAAAAATGCTAATGGCTGTCTTAGTTGCTTAGAAAAAATGAAAAACTTAGTGTTGTATTATGTAAATTAATATGCGGCAGGGCACTGTTTCAGAGTTTGTCTGCCTTGCATGAAGGACAATCTGTCCGTTTTTCGTTGCTTTCGAAGGTAGCCGACTGGCTGACAACTAAATATATACATGTATCGTTGTCATATGATTATTAAGTACAGGCATTGTTTTGTTCAGCAGCTTTAAAAAGCTAAAATAATAAACATGTGGAAATTTTAGTAATTGCATGCACAGACATGTTTTTATTGGTTTGTTTTTCTTTCATTTCATTGTTTATAGCATATCTAATAGACATTCAATTCAGTGTCTTCAGAATCAGCTACAAAGTTTTGAGCCCACCTGTTTGGCTGAGCATCGGTTACTTACCATAGAAATAGTATTATATATTATGGCAATTGTTCATCGGCGCCTATAGAAAAAGTCTCCCAAACTCTATGACCTAGTTATGTATAAATATTAGTTTGGTGGGCTAAATAAAGTAAAACTCTTTATCAATACAGACACGTGCGTTCATAGGCCGTAGCTCAAGGGAACCGAGCCGTGAACTGGATACGTTTGATTGAATTCAGCCAGATGGTTGAACATGTAAAGTGATTGAGTACATAATTGAATTGAGTCATGATATTAAGCGAGGATCTAGACAGTGTTTTGACGAATAGTACCGTCGATGGCTGGTAAGGTTTCTCTCTGACTAGGGGACGACGGTCAACCTCCTCAAGTGCTCGCCTTTGGACTCGCTTCTTTATGGGCTTTGTTGTGGATTAATGTAACTTTCCATCTCTTGCCTGTTACCCCTCGTATCCGTTCGTTAACTGATTACTGCGTTTAGCCATTCAAAGTGCTTTAGCAGCCTCCTGTTTCGTTGGCGCCACTATCCCACGTCAGTCAATGAAACGTCATTCTTCGTGAAAGTTACAGCGAGGCATAATACCACCTAGAGATGCTCCTGCCCTGCTTCAACTTAGACTAGGATGAAAAACAGTTCTCTACCAGAGGCCATATTATTGTTGATTTACGCCTAAACGTCCTTACGTTCACAAGAGTCCCTGGCCGGTTCGCAACTCCTTACAGCAGAAGCTCTTACTCCTGTATTCGCTTTTCTTTTGAAGAAGAATGGTATCAGAAACAAGAAACTTTTCAAGTTTGGAGTTTTTTTTCTTTTTGAAACTTGGAGCGGCCACACACACACAGATGATCATAATGATATGATAGGACTCGTGATGATGTTTCATATCGTTCAGATTTTTTTATTTGAATATATATATATATATATACGCCGTTCTCTTGCTAGATTGAAAATGATCATATGAAATTGTACTGACCTACAGCCTGATTACGTACCAACGTAGAGTCGACTACGAAGAAAGGTGTTCAAAGCGAAATGTTCAATTATCATGGAAACAATGTCTGATTTTTTCAGACAGCGCAGATGAGTGTATCACGCAGGTGATAATGAAAAAAATTTTATTTTTATGGCCAGATATTTAATATTGTAACCGTTGGCGCCACTTCTTCAACAGGACCTATAGCTTAGGTGTGAAGTTAGCCATCTTGCTGACGATGCCTATTTTTCTTATCATACGCCAACCAAAGGTTTGATGTACGCTTCTCGCAATGGTCGAAGTTTTTTCCTAAACTCTGTAAGCGGGTGTATCGCGAGTGTTACGTTCAGCATCATCAGTTACGCTGTATAACATTTCTCTGTTCGGTAGAAGCCATCTTAGACGGAGCAACGAATTAAATTTAATCCGCTATTTTTCTAGCCGTTTGCTATTGTCAATTGTACAGTTAGACCTGGAAGAGTGTTACTTTGAAGTTCTATACTTAGTTAGGATGTAATACCTAGGGAATGAAAAGATCGATATCGGTATAGTACGTTGTGTTGCTCTCTGGTTAATTAGCGGAAGTTTAACAATGAGATGTTGAGGTTTTTCGAGCGGTCACTGAGACCTAACTAACGACTTCACTGCCGATGGCTCAATTTTTCTGTCTCTGGCTTACTGTTTGAGAAATGTGCCTGTTATCGTGCTATGTCAATTTACTTTCTGATCACCGATCAAGTAAAATCGCTTTAGTCAATCCGTAATCGAGCATGACTCTGAAGAACACTGACGATCTGGTAAAAAATAAACCTCCGCTAAAAATGTAGCAGCTATAGTTGGCATTCTCGTATATACAGTAACACTTGTCGGCCATTTTGGGTCCTTGTTTCGTAATTACAGAGTGAAAACACTTCGGGGACAAACAACGAGTCGGCTTTAGAAAAACAATGAGCTTTTGTGTATATGCCGAAGTCTCTATCGCGTCGTTAGCTGAAGAGGAACAGTAAGAATAACTGTATCAAAACACTTGATATATAATTGACCTAAATACACGATTACGATGTAGCCTTGAGCTTTCAGCGTCCAGTAAAAACTGATAACACTATAAACAAAAGTGCGCTTGTTTTTAAGTACGTGCACCAAATCTATAGAAGCAGCTCTAGGCAAAATCAACAATTTTAACTGTTGTTATTAACCGAAAATTAAACCTAACCGTTGAAACCTAACCGAAAATTTAAATATATAATCATCAGATTTAGAACGGAACCGAAGTACATTTGAATTTACCAAGAATTTTTATCGACTATGTTACATCGATGTCTGCTACAAATGATTCCTTCCACAACTGAGGTGATACGCACAACGTACTTCAGGTGGTGCTTGCAAGAATAGCGATTTGCTCGTAGGGATTCCATAGAACGTTATTAAGTAAGTTTTTTTAAGGCATCATTATGATTTGTACCTGTGCATCAAGTATGACAAAGCTAAGAGTTTATTTAGGTGGTAAAGCAATACTAACTAAAAGGTTCTCAAATAAAAACTAGATCCTTTCGTTTTGCACGTTTACGCTGTTATACTTACAATGTAGTGATATCATTTTTCGATACCTATCCTGGTGTGCCATACAAATGAGCGCAATTCTGAACAAATAGCACTATTCTTTATATTAAAACTCTTTTGAATGAAAACAAGACAGATTACCCTAAAAGGTTCTATGCTGGGGGGCTTTATTGATAGAGTTTAATACTTTCGAATATAACAAAACCTAACTTGCCCTACATTGTGTCAACGGTTACATTAAGACTATGAGAAGTCTAGGTGCGGCGAAAAAAGAACCGACAAGTTACTATTTTCAGACTAAGTATATAATTAGTCGGTTTCAATTATGACTATTATTATCCACGTTATCTTTGTGTGCCTTCTTAGTCTATTTGGGTCTCCTCGAAACCCTACCCAGTTACCTGTATTGTATTCAGTCTTTTATAGCGTTTCTCTTGAGATAATGACCTAAGCGTCCTTTGATGCCTACACAGATGTGACAAGAGTTCCTCAAAACGGCCATAATAACATCACAACTCTGTTTTCATTACAAATTCGATCACAAAGAGCATTTCCGTAGCAAAACTATACGAAGTGCTACGATGATAAGGCATTCGTCAAATTATAGAGAATTTTCTTCTGTTACACACAAACGC